TCCCTCTCAACCTCCTCATCCCCCTCTCCCGGCTTTTTCAGCCCCCCCACCACCCAAAGTTCCCTCATCGTGCGCGTCAAAGACAACAGTTCTTCGACGGACTTGATCATGCCGTTCATCAGGATATCGGTCGCCATGGCGTTGTAGGCTGCTTGGCCTACGCTGGCGGTGTTGTCGACGCGCGAGGCGCCGTGGTGAAGGAGGGATTGGAAGGTGCGGAGGAGGGAGGCTGTGAGGCGGTTTTCCCGGTCTGTGATACGGGGGGGTGTTAGTATGGGTTGTGTGGTGGGTGGGATGAAGGGGAGGATGGTAGGGACAGGAGGAAAGGAAAGAAAGGAAGGGGGAACGGGACTGACCGAAAAGGTCCTCTGTTTTTTCTTGATCGCGCTCCATGGTTACCGTGGTTGTGGTTGATGTAGATTTCCAGGCGGGGACAACGATGACTGGGTGAGTGAGGTGAGGTGAGGTGACGTTGATACCGCTATGGAGAAAAGTGAGCGTGTGTGCCTCTTGAGTTGCGCGTTGTCCGTTGAATAAATTGTTTGCAATGATTCTGTCTTGTAGTACCGATATCTGAGCGGAAATACTTTGTTGAAGTTGTTGAACGAGAAGTCACAAATCGGATGTTGATGTTGAGGTTAAGAGTTCACTGAAAGCGCTGTGGCTATTACGGGCATCTTCCATCTGCAGCGCCCGCTGAAGGTCATACAGTGTCATTACAACCCGGATGCACTGGCTGGGTCTTGGCATCCCATTATTCATCCCGCCGTCCATGGCAGCGCGAACGGATTATGTACCTCAAGGCATTATCGTAGGTGTTTGTTGACAGAGAGCAGCTAATGACGGTTGATGCCAGTAGCAGAAAGAGTAAAGAAGCAAGCCGCCCTCAAGCCAAAGCACAACCTGGACAAACGAAGAATTCCGAAGTCAAGACCAAAAAACACAACCACCCTTTTATTCAACAGAAACCGCTATGTCTAATTCCTTGATATGGCTTGAACGTCCGATGATGCTTTCTGTTATGATTCTTCAGAACAATACATCCCAGGCGATTCACGATAAGTAGTTCCTCAATCCATTTTCCCCAGTCTTCACGATTAAAGACCACTAATTCGACGACCCATCCTCAGCAACGCCATCAGCCTCATCGCCAAGCTCGGCCTGCAAAGCCTTGGGTATCTTCTCGGCCGTGCGATCCGACCGCTCATGCGACGCCTCGATACCGCCGGGCGTGACCCAGAGGAAGTAATCAGTGCGAAAGTTATCGATCTGGTTGAAGAAGAGGTGGAACCTATTTTTGTCACAACGTTAGCAATCTTCTCTCGAATAACCAAGATCACCGGGGGTACTCACGAATTCTCCTTCTCCTCCAACTCAAACATGCGCTTATAAATATGTTCATCCTTAAACTTCTGAATCTGCTCATCCCACTTGCCAAAATCAATCGGCTCCCTCCCCAGCTCCTTGAACTTCTTGTTGCTGACATCAAACACCGGCCTCTCCAGCATCAGACCGAGCCCAGGAGCCTTCGGGATGCTAATCCTGCGGGGACCGTAGCTCTCGTTAATCAGAGACATGGGCGCACCGCACCGCACGATAAGTACAGCCATGGCCACCATCTTGCGGATCTGGTGCATCATGAAGCTCTGGCCGTGGACCTTGAGCGACAGCCACTCGGTGTCGTTGATGCGGATTGGTGTAGGGTTCACTTGGAAGGACTTGATGTGACGACGAGCGGACGGGTCGGTATGTGACTTGAGGATGGTGTAGTTATGGAAGTTGTGAGTGCCGAGATACTGGTTGAGCGCTTCTTGCAGCTTCTCGAGGCGAGCGGGGGTAACGCGGTAGCGACGCTTGGCGGCGACATAGGCGGCTTTAACTTCGCGGACAGCGAGCTCGACGGGGGTGAACTCGCGCTCGGCCTTGGGAGCGGGGGGTTGAGTCTCGGTGGTGGCCTCGGTGGCTTCGGTGGTGGTGATTTCGGTGGCAGCAGCCTCGCCGTCTTTCGAGGGCTCGGTAGCCGTGGTCTCTTCCGCCGGGGTATCCTTCATCTCGACATCCTTGCTGACAACATCGGTATCGGGCTTCGAGGGCTCTCCGTCGTCGGTAAGCTCTTGGTCGGCAGTGTCGTGCAAAATGCGAATGACTTCGGCTCTGATCTCGGGATCCATCTTCTCGAGAATGGGCTGGATGTCGTTCTTCTCAACCTCCTCCCAGAAGTTCTTGACGTCGTCCAGTCTGTCCACGTACTCGTCGTATGTGCCCTTCTCCTTGGCCGCGTCGATGATCTTCTTGCCGAGGAAACTTTGTGGTTGAGGCGGCAGAAGAGCATAGCTGGGCATGAGGTATTCGTACCATCTGGAATCGCATGCTTGGTAGCAGCTGAAACCGTTGGTAACACGCTGAATACCCCAAACCTTGATCTGGTCTGGGAGGTGGCTGTTGATCTTCTCGACAATGTCCTCGTCCTCGACGATAAGCTTGAGCGACAAGACGTTGGCGGCGGCGTGGACGCCCTTGTCGGTACGGGCGCATCGAACGAGACTGGACTTCTTGGGGTCGTCGGCATTGGCCTTGGAGATGGCACCGGCCTTGACGAAGGCGGCGAACAGATCGCCCTCAATGGTCTTCTCCTTGTGGTTGATCTGGATTCCGTGGTAGCCGGTACCAGCGTAGCCGATCAGGACGGCAACCTTGCGCTTGGGTCGACGTTCCTCGGCGGCGATTTCGTCGGTCGAGAAGGGGATGCTCATGTAACTGTTACCGTCGGCGGCTCCGTCGATAACCTTGCGGCGCTTGGCAGCACGGTTGTCCTGGACTTGGTCGCGCTTGCTCATGAAGTCTCTTCTACGGCCTAGTCAGCGTCGGCATTAGGGGTCTGTGGCAGTGAATTGAAGCTGAAGAAAGCAATGGCAAAAGCCAAGCATGTATGTGGTGGTTGTTCATACTTGTTGCTCCCAAAGCCTCCCGTTTTGATGTTGTTTGGGTTTCCTCTGTCCCGGTTTGGGTTTCTGTTGTTGTCGCGGCCTCTTCCACCACCTCTCTTCTGGCCTCGGTCGTCGCTCCGGTCGCCATTGTCCGCCGTATCGTTGGATTCGGTGTTTGTAGTCTCGACCACGGGGTCGGCAGCAGCGGCTGCAGGGGCAGCGACAGGTGGTGTGTCTTCGGTAGCCATCTTGAGAGTAGTATGCGACGTGTGAGTGGCATCAGCAATGTTGTAAAGGTGGAGCGGCGCGGGAGGTGGTGTTCAAAACATTGAATTTATTTTCCCCAGCCGCTCACTGACGCGCTTATCGCAATGGTCCCTTATAATTGTACCTTGCCTATCGCGGTCTAGCCATGCCGATAGCACGGACCCTTTACGCGGGGAAGTGCTCGTCGAGTGGTGAACCCGACTGCCTCCACTACCTAGCAGGAACAACAACTGTTCTTGGCAGTCGAGGTCATCGTCTCTTTCTCTTCCACTTTCATCCGTTTTCCAAGGGAACTGGTTGAATTTGCATGTCCACTTCATTCTCTCCCTTCAGGCTCACTTGCTTCCGAGGAAATGAAATCATGTCCTTCATTGGCGTTCTAAATTGTCAACTTTATCCATCTTCCTCTTGTCTTCCGGAAAGATAACATTGACTCACGCTCAAGACAAGTTCCGGAAACCCTCCGAATCTCCGGGTCTGCTCACTACTAACGCCCAATTATAACGCGAATATATCGACGAATGAGGCTTGGACATGGCAATGTTGGCCACAGGAAAACACCTTCCCCCGAAAAATATTTTTCTTAACTGGCTCCAGCTAAGTAAAGGACGTCTTTTGAGAGTAAAGTAATTAGGATTAGGTA